CCAGGAAATGTATGTTCCTAACACACTAGTCATCCTTTAAAGATGTGAAATTTGCAAATGCATTTTGTGCAATTTGCGGAAACCCCCCCCGAGAGAACTACATGTTTTTTCTTTATTTTTTGTGCATTAACAAACATAACTAGGAAAATTTGATAAATTACGCTAACCAATTATTTTCGATGATTGATCGGTTGTAATGAACCAATCATCAATTATGAGATTTACACCAATTCCTACACTAATTGCTATTCTCCCTGATCAATTCCCTTTCAACATAATCAATAAACATGTACGGTCAGGTCTTATCATAACCATAGTTACATACTGCCAATGAACATGATGAAGGCTGAGAAGAAATTTAGTTCATGAGTGCATCATATCAAACGGGTTATAGCTAAAACGGAACCACAGCAGAACGGTACCAAATTTGTTTGGCGAAAACGGCACCATATTGGCGAAAACGGTTACTGATTTCTGGGCTAAAACGGCACCATATATAAACAGTTAAACAAAGTATGACGTTGACTTTTATTTTTTATTTCATTTCCGTATACAGTGGAAACCGCCTAAGTAAAGACTGCTTAACTAAACAGACCTGATAAGTAAACACTTTTCTTTGGTCCCGGCAAATTTCTTCATTAATTATCACTATTAGAGACCGGTTAACTAAACTCGGATAAGTAAACAATACCGCTTAACTAAACGTCTTCTATCGGTCCATGGAAGTAAATTACTTAACAAAAGAGACTGGATAACTACATTAGCGATCACCACATAATCCGACATGAGGGGCAGTCGTGTCAGTCTCCAGTCAAACAAACATCCTACTTACAGCTCGCTGGCGTCAAGCAGTTGACAATACACTGACAACTGGAGGCCAGCCCTGATAAGTTGTTCATTGTTACATATGCATACATATACATGCATACGGTTGTCATTTGCAGGTTTTTATAAGTTTGGATAAGTAAAATACCTGATAAGTAAACAATTTTTGCGAGTCCCTTGAAATTATACTTATCAGGTTTCCACTGTATAACATTAGCAAGATTATAACATATATGAAACAAAGTGTGACATTGACTTATATTTTTTAGTCCCCCGCTGTGATATTGTTGGAATAGTGCAAAAAGCAGCGTAAAACCATACTCACTCACACACTCATTTCATTAAAATCACATTAGCAAGATTATAACAGAACCGTCATCATTACAAGTAGTAGTAGTTTATTTCGGTAAATCAGGCCACAGGCCCATTTTACAATTAGTGTATTGACAAAGATGTTGATGTTGCGCCACCAGTGCATGTATCGATATTTGAGTACAACAAGTATATCTAGTACAATATACATGTGAATATAAAATATGTTGGTTATGTAGTGGACGATTGCTTGCTCCTCATTTTAAGAGCAAAGAAAGTCAGCTTGGCGAGATTATTAAGCATGAAAGTATTTTGGGTGGTAAATAACAGTTTACATTTACACTCAGAAGGAAATTTGTAAGTAATAACTTGGCAGGAAATTTCTTCTAAGGTCATTATAAAATGGACACACTAGACAGACATGGTATTCTGTTTCCACAATTGGGATGATACAAAATGGACAGTCTTTCACTTATAGGTATGCCTAATTTGCTACCATAGATCACTTGTCGTACACCAAAGAGGCAATCAAAGAAGGGACTACAGCCATTGTTGACCAACACACATGATTTCACATTTTCATACACCTGCAGAATATATAACAATTACACAATTACAGGCCAATTAATACACTACTCAATTAAAGGCCAATTAACAATCTACTCAATTACTGTGACTGCCAATTATTAAACAAACATGATGAATACCTCCACTCTCACTCTGATTGCTGTTAACTGAAGTGTCATCTGTACTTACCCAGATGCCCTTTCCAATCACTGTCGGCAAAGTAGACGTATTTATTTTCTAAATATGCTGCAATCCGATTATTAGCTAATCACAAAGTTTCCAATCACTGTCAGCAGAGTAGATGCATTTATTATCTAAACATAATGCAATCCGATTATCAACTGATGACAAACTTTCCAATCACTGTTGGCAGAGTAGACGCATTTTAATATTCTGCAATCCGATTATCTAATGACAAACTAGTTTTCCCTATAATATTTTATTTGGTTCCGTTTTCGCCATAAGGTTTGTAGCCGTTTTTGCCAAGTCGAGGTTCCGTTATGTCCAAATGGTGCCGTTTTCGCCAGGTGCCGTTTTGCTGTGGTGACGTTTTAGCCTGAACCCATATCAAACTATCGATTTGGCCACCACTGAAAATGTAAAGTGAAGTCAGATCATGTATGATAATGGCGGGACTTTATTTTCAATTTAATATTTTCAGGGCATCAGGACCAATCTATACATGATGATTGAACTTAGAAGTCAAATCCTAATTCAGATGTGATTCATCCTGATGAATGCTTTTAGATACACTTATGTATGGATATACTGACTTATTTCAATTTTATGGTGATCGAAAAGAGCAAGGAAATCAGATGACAATTTGGGTAGCGTTTAGACTAATTAGAGCATGTCCCTGTGTGATGTGGATGAGGTGCTGTAAAAGTACTCTTATTATTATTGTAATCAGAAAACCATTGTTTGTAGCATGGGAGAAAATATAATGAAAAAAAAAAAGATTAGTCTTTGCAACTTCATCAGGATATATTCATGTGTTCAGTGATAGCCAAGTCATGTAACTTGTAAGCTTGTTTTGTCATCTTGTAATCTGTTGTTATTTAGTATACAATTATTCCTAAAGAACTTTTCCATGGTTAACACATATTTTTGTATTTGTCAGAACAGAAATAGTACTCTTTAAATTTAATTTTTGTCTTCAGTTTATATTATTTTTCGGTTTACTGAACCTGCCAACCAGTTCTGTATAAAGTGTGGCCTGGTGTATGTTCAGGTGCCTTGACCACTCTGTGTGAGCAATGACCATGTCACCATCAGGTGTAAAGCGTGAAATGGATGAGGAGGCTATCATTGAGGCCGAGATCCAACAAGTTGGAGATCATCGACCTTGACAGTGACGATCCCAACAACAACATTGATGACAACAGCATTGAGAGACCTGTCGAGAACTTGGAGGACAACATTGGAGATAAGGTTCACCATGTTATAACTTACATGCGTCATGTTGTAATTGATTTACATCTTAACAGGGTTTATATTTTTACATGTCAAGTGTTCAAAATTGGCCAGACTTACTGACTTGGTTGATACATGTCATCGTAACCCAATTGCGTATATCGATGCTCATGATGTTGATCACTGGATTGTATGGTACAGACTCAATTATTTACATCATATAACTGGAATATTGCTGAGTGTGGTGTTAAACAACAAACAAACACAAAAACTACCAGACCATCAAACCATATAGATCTATGCTAATGTTCCGTATATCCTCCTACAGCTTGTGTTAGATGAAGCTCACAGATATCTGAGTCTACTCCAGCAGCAGACTGAAAACTTTGAGAGGGAACTGACAGAGTGTGATGACCTCATCACCTACCACAACCAAGGTAATGCCAAGGGAAGTAACTCTCATACATGGCAGTCAGATAAATACTCCAAGCAGGATGTTTCATTTGTTTCATTTATTTGTCATTTTGATTATTTACCAATGCTTCAGTTAGTCGTATTGATAGTAAATAATAAAAAAAAATCGAAAAAAATTGATCATTCCATGGACATTCAGATTTCAGATTAGTTCATTTTGTTTCTACTTTTTGATTGTTTTCCAAAATAACCAGAAGATATATTTTCAAATATGGTAATGATCAAAGAATATGCTATCAATAGTTTGGTTTAAAAAAAACCCCATTAAGGATGATTTACCACTGTATTTTAGAGTCTCATGGAACTTACCGATCATTTGTTTTAGACAATGGTGCCATGAAGGAGGTGGATCTTGGTGACCTAGAGGAGGAAGCCAGTAGACTTGGGGTAGATCCAGCTGAACTCAGGAGGAAGGTGGGCACAGAATGCACACAGTCAATACTTCACAGATTGTGTATTTACATCATTATCATCCAAAACTGTTCCACAGGAGATATTGCTTGTGTGAGATCAAACGATATCACCTAGGTTGAGTAAGCGCAACTTCAGCGATTGCTTTGAGCTACAAGCTGTCAGATTTCTCATGCAGCTTGAAGTCTCTCCTCATTCATTCAGTGGTTGGTTGGCACAAAGTTCATGAACAGAATGCCCATTGTCTGCATGAATTATTCTTGGCTTTATCATATTAGCAGACATTCGTGACCCACTCGTGTCATTCGTGGACACACTGAATAGCGACTCGTGCCCCTCTGGAAGGATTTCATATTGGCGTAGGAACATCAGAACTATATACTTTATAGTTTAATAATGATTAGCAGACCGAAAAATAGAGACTCTTCAGTGTTTTACAGAAACACCGGGTGGAATGTATTCATGTGTGACTGAGGAGCATGTAAACAAAGCCTGTGCAGTATTTAAGTTAGTTATTCCATTAGGGGTTGAGTAGTCCAGTGAATAGCATGTCAACCCTTACCAAGAAACATAAAGATGGAACTAGTTTCAACCATGCCTGGTTTGCAGCATTAAAGAACGAATAAACTCAGATCACTTGGAGAGAATTTGTTGTGGATACGGACGCTATATTTTCGTTATTTTATGTTCATGGTAAACCAAACTATTCCAATTCAAAGTTTCCCAATGTGAGTGGATGCAGTTTGGTAGTTTCACAATTTACACGAAAAATGACAACGTATTACATGTGAAAGCACGTAATAGCGATTTGGATGGCCCTATCCGATATATAAGTTAGTTCTCAGATTCCCATATTCTCCTGTTTGTGTAGATGTAATTTGACTAATTTTGCATCGTTATTACCAGAATACTGGCCATATCTTCAAATGTAATGAAATTGCTGAAAATAAACCACTGGGATACCCGACCGACGCTCTCACTGAAAACAAGAAGCAGAGTGATGGTGTAGTTGTTTTATTGACTACCTTTCCTTACTATCAGAGTAAGCATCATTACAATTATGCAGACAATTACAGAGTGATCACTTCAGCATCACAGCAACATGGCCAGGCATATGGTCACTTGAAACATGTATGCTGAGACTGAACATGGATTGTATTCTTTCTGACATGACAGACTAATAAATCAACACATTGCCATTGCAAATCCAGAATACAACTACCCAGATGCTTTAATATACATTTTCTAAAATTTATCATGCACTGCATAGGTCGTCTGGGTGCAGAGTAGGACTGCAGCTATCGCAAAGTAGTCTTACAGCATAGGAGTGATAGCACTATTATTACTTTCTGCATGTAGGTCCTATGAGGCAAGCACAACAGTTTATCCTGAAAATACAGGCACCTGTTTAAAGGGTTCTTTCATTCGACTTAAGATCTGGGTTCACTCCTCACATAGGTAAATCATACGAAGATTGGTGTCCCCTAGTTCTTGAAAATTTCTAAAACCATTATTGCTCTACGGTTCAAATAAAAGAATTTTCAAGTGTTTTGAACCTCTTTTCACACACCCACTAACTCACTAACAGGTAATACCTGTGGAGATATTTAGTTTGGTTTGGTTGTTGTTTAACGCCGCACTCAGCAATATTCCAGCTATATGGTGGCAGTCTGTAAATATTCTAGTCTGGAGCAGACAATCCAGTGATCCAATGAGCATCGATCTACTCAGTTGCATGTGTATGATTACATGTGTCAACCATATCAGCAATCCTGATTACAGGATCCCGCTAGTCGCCTCGTACGACAAGCATGGGTTGCTGAAGGCCAATTCTAACACGGCTCTTCACGGACAGGAGATATTTAGATTTGTCTTACTGACTTACATTATATAGAGTTTTGGCATTGTCTGTACCCCATCATTATAAGATGAATATCTCTATCTTGACTTACATGCCAATTCATATATATTCTATTTTGATAACTACCCTGAACCCACTTGCCCTCCTGCTTCCTTGTAAATCCAGTTATAACTGACACAGCACTAAAACAGCTGTTCAATCAAATTAACCTGCCCTTGTGAGACAAGAGATAAATCATGACCACTTGACCCACTCCATTGTGTGATATCTCAAATACAACTGAAAATGTCGGACAGTGTAAGGAATTCCCTCCCCTGATTATAATACTCATTTAATTATTTGTTTTCAAGTTATTAAGAGAAAGAAATAACATGCTAAGAACTCCAGACTGGGCTTCACACATTCAACCAATGTGAGGAATTGAACCCGGGTCTTCGGCATGACAAGCGAACACTACAACCACTAGGCTACCCTCCGCCCCTTATATTCTGGTAGAATGTACACATAACACCGTGTGATGGTGTGTTGCCTGTATCCACACACTCCAGCCTACATGTCTCAAGTGACCATGCACCTACATGCCTGCATATTTCATGATTCATAACAGAAACAACTGTACAGTAATAATGCTAGCTAGTCATAGTGACATACACAGTAACATACTGATCATTATGTTCACAATATTCACCACTGTTGCCTCTGGTTTGGCAACACTGTTTCGGTTCATCAATTCTTCAAAAAACATAAAATCTGAAAAGGTTCTGATGAAGGCAGATTTATATGTTCAACACAACAAAATTTACGAACCAACTACTTATTTTTTCCATTTACCATACTGTTCAATACCTAAACCAAGAATAAAAAATGTCTCATGTTACCTTGGTAACATAATAAACATATATACATATATATGAACACCACATGCTTTCAGCCATATTCATGATTTCGTTATTTTCAGAATATCCAAGCATATCATGCCCAGTGATAACAAAAATCTCATATCTTTCAAATTACTATAGTTAACATAACAGATTTACTGGAGTCAAATGAAAAGATTAGGTGTCCTTTACTTCTTTTGGGTAGTATACATGTATAACATTGACGAGTTGAAACGATGATACATAGGTTTGGACACCATAAGCTGACCTGGCATACAAACATGAACACACATCACATTTTAAACTCGTATTCAAGATTTTTCCTGTAAAAACTTAAGTAAATTGACCATCTAGAACATTCTGGGCAAAGGGAAACCTAATGTAACAAAATATTGATTAGTTCTATGAAATCTTAAGATCAGAGGACACTGAACACCTCCACAGTCAGTCGCATCAAGGGAACTTTCTAATCAATCAGTCAGCACTTAGGCTTTTGATTTCTTTGGTATGAATGTAACATTCAGACAAGGATGTCTAATATCTGTATGTCAAAACCAAACATAAATGGGAGGTTCCAAATGCAAAGAATATAAACAGTTCTAATATATTGTTTGTGGATTATTTACATCTAGCTCTTTCACTTGTAACTGATACTCATAGTGTTGGCACGAGGTTTGACATGTTAAACGTTTCGGGCATGAGGTAACTGACATGGTCACTTATACCCAGAAATCTGAAACGCAATGTAGATCTCCTAACTGTGACGAGGGTTAGGGCATAAGTTGTCCACCGATCTAGAGCGGTATACGGTGTGATATACCCTGTGTGTGAGATGAAGTACCAGGAGCTGTGATGTCCACATGTGAGCAGGTAATATGGAAAATAACTGTTGCCTCTTAACCAGTGAGAGGTTGGTACATTCTTATGTAAAGGTGCATTCTCTCTGTGCAACTTGTAACAACTTGTAACATGTAGCAACAACTGGTAGCATGTAACAAAGTTGTGGTTCAGAATACCCTAATCGTAACAATTTGAAATTACTTACTTGCTGCTGAGTTGTAAGCCATAGGACTTGACCATATTCTAACTACAAGTTGTAGGATCCCGACCAATCAAATCACTTAGATCTATGCCCATCTCAGAATGACTGTCAAGAATGTGATAGATACCAGCACCATCTTCTTTTCTTCATGAATAGAGATTGTCGAGTCATATACATGTCATGGGATACAAGACACACAGTGAGAACGCACCATAAGGTAACATTATAGAGCATGAAAGACAATACATTCTAGAGGAATCCTACTCTAAAAATACTGTTATGGACGGACAGACGCACAGACTGATGGACTAATTAAAACTTGCTCTCTTTCTTCTGCACAATCATCCCAAGTAGATTGCATAACAAAATAACAAGCAACAATGTAAGTTGGAAAGAGAAAACATATGTATGAGAAATATAATTCAAAGCATGGTAAAATATAAATGTACAAATGAATGATTATAAGGAATACTCTAATCCCTTTGCAGAAGAAGCATACAAATAACGTGTCTTATAACTGAACATGCTTATGTCCTGAACATTTATTACATACCCATTCAATCTTATGATAGCAGTAGGGATGAGCAATACCGCAAGCTTTGGCGAAGTCTGTATTGTATGGCTGTTGAATCTACTTTTCGGCAATATGTGGATAGTCCCGTAAACACCTAAATTTAGACATTACTTAGGATCCAAATGACATTTTTTAAACATAATAAACAAAAGAAGTTGTTTTGTGTCAAATAATATTGTTTTGATTTTTTTGTGTTCAGAACCTTGCACTTGATTGATATAATAATGATAATGTCAGACAGAGGAAGGTGATCTGACACATACATGTGTGATATCTCCCTTGCACTGACTGATACTCAGGTCAAGGTGACCTCAATGTGGAAGTTTCAGTAGTGACATGCATAGCTTGATATAAACAGTTAACATGATGACTAGTTAGATTAGGGCATATAACAGTCAAAGAATTTCAGTGGTTTTGTGGATGAGGGCATTTATGGGGTATAATGTGGGGTGAAATGAATGTTGTTCTTGACACTTTTTCACTTATATAGCCTGACTGACTGAGTTTAGTTTTAGTATTACGCCGCTTTTAGCAATATTCCAGCAATATCGCGGCAGTTCACTTATATAGCTACATACTAGTACAGTCTGGTATTCTGTCCACTAAACCATAGAGGTCTGTGACAACTGAACACATGGAACTGGAATTATCCATAAAATGCAGAGATAAGATGAACACATTATACAACTAGAAGCACTCACTGTACCTTCTGATATGACATTTTAAGAAATGGTGTCCTCAATCAAAGAAAGTAGACACTTTTTGGACTACAGTTAACAAGATCTCAGTCAGTTGAACAAAAAACTTGACATTCTCAAAACAAAATATACACCTGAAATATGTAAACAAGACTCGAGAGGAGCAAAAAACCTATAGTCCTCAATAATTGAGTCTATTAAGACTCCAGTCTCTCATGATCATGAACACGATGAACACATTCACAGGGCTCCAAATAAGATGCGTCTCTGTGTAAAATATGCATGGATAATTCAGATACATGTATATGCTTAAAAAGTCAAATCAGTGAGTGAAAGAAACACATAACTTTCTAAGAATACGAGTCAGATTTTGTTTCCATGTGTGAACCAAACTGGTCTAAAAATTGTTTCAGACCTACACATCCGATCTTAGGATCTCGAATAGTGTTAGTTGTCTGTATTAAAGCAAAGATTGTTGAATGTAGTTAAAATCTGTATTAAGAATAAACACGATGGGAATAGTGTCACTGACAAAACGATTTCTGGTTGGAAGTCACCGTGGTTGCATGTGGTTATAAGCCAATGCAGACCAAAAATCCCCCAAAACCTGCTAAGTGTTATGTGTCTGTGAAAGTAATAAAACCATGAACCTGTGAAATACTCCTCCTTTTATTTCCGTTTGGTATTTACTCCTCAGCTTTAATTTACACTAAAAGGAAGTCAGTATGATGGTCCAGGGTACTCATGGAGATTTAATAGACTGGAAAATCAAGGACGCCAAAATTTCAATTCAAATATGTTTCAAATTTCAATTTAAATGATTCAAATTTCATTACAATCATACATTTTACATCTTGGAGCCTTAAACACAGCAGTGTAAATGGGATATACTGTGACAATATCCCCCGGGGACATTGGGTTTCTCAACACCATTTGGTTTGGTCCCATCCATCTCATTTGAGGAGTTTCCCATCATCATATTACTGGAATATTGCTATAACCACTCAGGGGTGGAAATAACTTTAACATTGCTAGTGTACTCCGGTACAGTGGCACATGTAAAATCACTTGCCCTGATAATTTTCCCACTATACTGGCCGATTTTCTTGTTGATATTTTAAATAAACAACATACCATAATTAACATTGGAAAAGTCAACTGGACACCGGTACAACACGATATACAAATTTGCTTGCCCAGCAGAAAAAAACACTAGACTGGGACGTCGGGCAATGGGTTATTTCCACCCCTGACCACCCAAACTTACATTGTTGCGATAATCCAAGTGTCAAGTTTTGAAATGCATCATAATTTGTATTTTAAGATCAAGATACATACTGTATCGCAACAAAGCAGCATTAGAAACTCATGTTTTAAAGACTTGTCCACAAGAATAGATGAAACCTCCTTTCAGTGGTCTTCAGAGTTTGTACCTGGTCCAGTTTCTATTTTTCAGTATGTTCACACTTTTGTCAGTTTCATTCAGTTTCAATTTCTAGCACTTGAGAACTGGTCCAGAATTTCAACCTCATCATTGGATTTATGCTTTGGATTTCTACACAATTTAGCCGGCTCTGACTAGAGGACCACTGTGCATTGTGAAGGCTGCAAAGTGTGCCATTACAGGCTTATAATGGCTTGTATAGTATCCATTCTCATATTATGACCCATACAAAATAACAGCAGGATGACAATCAGAAATTTAACATCAACATAATACACAGTTGGAGTTGAAGTGTCACTCCCCCAAAACCAACATTTAAAATAGTTCAATCATCCAAATTTAAGAAAAAAATCAAACAATTTCTTGCACCCAGCCCATGAACTTAAAGAAACAGGAAATGAAGGTTACTATGGTAACATGTAATGTCACATGACAATCAACTGCTACACAATAATGATTACAGTTCTTGCTTGGCTGCAGTTGTCTCACCTTCTGATACCTCATCAATCTTATCCAAATGGCCATACCAGTGATTGTAAGCCAGCAGTGCCACATTACGGCCTCCAATGGCACTCATTTCTAGAGCAGACGCTGCAATCTCTACAGCATTTACATTATACAGTCGGTCATATAAAACAAAGGGAGGTAACTCCATATTTGTGCTGTATTGAGGATATGCTTTCCAGTTGATTAGCCTTAAGTCTTTTCGACCTGAAAATAACAATCTCACCTCTGGTTCAGTAGGAACCCGATTTAAGAAAACTTTATAAACTTCTTCCTCAACATCCTTCTTTTTCAAATGCTCCTTAAAAGTAACTGGTCTTTGTTTTTCTACTGAGTTAAAGAACACATCTTCATCAACAGTGAAAATTCCTCCGGGTGCATCTTTCAGATTTTCATAACCAAAGTGAGAAGCATTAAGGTGCCCCTGAACAAACAAAGCTACTGTTTCATGCATCTTGAAGTCTGGAAAAGGCAAGGGTTGTGAAAAATCTTCAAATTTTATATCTGTTTGCCCGGTAGGAAGAGGCGTTGCTATGACAACAATATCATATTCCCGAGCGTTTTCTTCCTGATCCTTGCTTTCAGGGTTCGGGGTCTTATATGACACTTCATAGGTAACTCCTTCACCATCCTTCTGCAACAGAATCTGTGTTACCTTCGCACTGATCAAGTTTGCATTAGATTTCTTCAGAAGTTTTTCAGGAACCAGCTTATTACCTCCCTTGACCGACCATAAACCAGGTTGTGCCCCTGCCATTGACACTGCACCTGGATCAAGAAAATGACAAAAATATGTAATTTTTAGAGTAAAATTGATATTTTATACTTATCCTGACTCATGCTCTTTTGCTTGTCTTCTTCTTCTTGCGAACATAGTGGAAACACTTGTATCTCCTTAATTGAAGCTCCCTTCAATGTAAAATCACTAATTAGTACTCACCACGAGTTGCTCCCCTTTAATCCCTCTGCCGGGAAAGGTGTCGCCACCTTATACCTCGTGCTTCACTCTCTCCTGATTTTGCGAGCCCAACACTTGAATTTACGGGGAAATCCAAAGTGTTATGTGGGGAGGATGGGAGGGCTGACCTCATGAGTCAGGATAAGTATAAAATATCAATTTTACTCTAAAAATTACATATTTTTCCTTATCCTGACTCATGCTCTTTGTTTGTAGAATCCTACGGAACGGAGGAGGAGTAATAGAATACTTTGGATTTATAATTAGTGATTTTGTATAAATATAACTGTAATAACCGTATGGGAACTTCATGAAGGCATTGACTTAGGATATTTCCTGTATATAAACCATAGGTTATATAATGCCATAAATGGGTATTACATTGATATATACTGAAAACCATTACATATATTATATATATATATAAGTGACTCTGATAGAGTCGCTGTACAACTAAACATAATGTCAATATATGTACTTAGGGGGTGAATAAGCTAAATATATACATAGCTCTAGAACTCCTTAGAGTTATAAGCTAGCTAAATTATGTATATATAATACATATTAAACTTGTGATGATAATATTTAACTTCAATGAGGGACTGTCAGCTGTTGAGCAGGACCAAAGGGGCGAAATGGTGAATGCCAGAGACATCTTCTGTGGTGATGTCTCTCAGGTAGTGATTCGCGCAAACACCATGTTCGATTTCCAAAAGCATCCTTCCATAATTGTGTTCAAAGAACAGTTACCGCAGGGCGAGGGTGGAAGCCAATGCCCTAATCTTCGCGGATTTGATGCTGTTGGTGGGTCCAAGCCTGCTGCCTTGTAGGCTGGCATGACAGTCCTTATCCAAATAGATATGGTAGTACGAGACTTCTGTTTGATTCGCTGGCATATAAGGGATGAATAATCTTTGAGAAATCTTCGCCTTTGTTTTGATCGTCGTGAAGTAAACTTTGAGAGCTCTGACTGGACACAGTGATAAGTCTTGTGTATCTTGTGATCCGAGAATCGAGGATAGCTGGTACATGGAATAACCTGTCTGGTTGACCTGGTAGTTGATTTTTGGGGATGAAATCCCATCTTAATCCCAGGTGCTTATGTTTTGATTGTCATCAAACTGTATCCTCTCGTAATCCAGAGCATTGAATTTCAGATATTCTTGCTGCCGGCTAGAGATAGTAGAAATAGTGTTTTCTGTGAGAGAAATTCAAAGTTTGTCGATTCCAAAGGTTCATAGGCCTCACTAGTGAGGTGTTGTAATACTATATTCAGATCCCAAGCTGGGAAGCGGAACTTCCGCTTTTGGTCCTCCAATCGGAAAGCACGTAGTAAGGCCAGTAACTCTGGAGATTTTGTCAGCTTGACACCCGCTCTCATAGTGATCAGCAGAGCTGCCGGCAAGATATGTTGATATCACGAACCTCTTAAATGTTTGTTTTGCCGCAGGTAACACAAATAGTCTGCCACTTGAGGATGTGAAGCATCTCTCGCTGTAAATCCTTTATTAGCTGCATAATTTTCAAACTGTGCCACTTGTCGCCGCATTGCCACGAAAGTCGAAAGTGTCGTAAGGCAAAAGCGGACCGCTTTTCAGCTCTGGTAGAATATCTCTCTTGTTTAAAACACATTTGTATACAGTCCATATGCGAAGTTGGTAAACTTCTGGGTTTCCGCACCTGTTTCGTGTGTGGATGTATTAACAGGTTTGAGCTTTGGGTAGCTCTAATACTGGTTGACCGATTTCTTGAATTAGAATGGGAAACCATACTCTGGCTGGCCAGTAGGGCGACCAAAGTGAGTTGTAGACTCTGTGTTTGTTTGATTTTCTGTAATACTTAAGGTATTATTGTTGGATGGCGGAAACGCTGCACGCTGCTTGAGGCCTTCCCATGATATACTTAGAGTCCGCTTCCCAAGCTTGTGGATCTGGGATTGGTGACACTAATGTCGGTAGCTGATTGTTGAATCTTGTGGCTTAATAGATCTATTAGCGCTGCTAACGGCTTGATTATCTGTGCAAATATTTCCGCATTGAGCATCCATTCTGTCGGTGATGGTAGATGAGGCCGAGAGCGCCTGCTAGTACATTTCTGGCTCCTCGGAATGTGAACTGCTCTGATCTGTAGATTTAGATCGTGGGGTTAGATCGAATAGTTGAAAGCTTAAGTTCAAAAAGGTTCAGTGATCTCATTGAGTCTTGCTTGTTCAACGAGAACGCCACTGTGGAATTGTCGGTATGAATCATAAGGTGCGATTTTGTAGAAATGTGCTCCAATGTAGAATGGCGCTGATTACAGCTTTCATCTCTAGGATGTTTATATGGAGTTTGCTTTCTTGTTGGTTCCATAATCCCGATGTCGCTCTGGTTGGCGCAGATGAGCTCCCCAACCTTGAAGTGACGCTGGCCCACATATAGATGGGTTTTGAATTCTGCTCTGCTAAACAAATCCCTTCGCAGACATTCGATTTCTTTGTCCACCATAGTAGATGAGGTCTGAGATGTTTCGTAGACTGAATGGCTGTAAATCGCCGAGATGTGCATTGATGAAGACCTGTAAGGGGACGAACTGTAACTCTGCCTCTGACTGTCATGTCTTGGGCTGATGTGAGGGAGACCTAGGAGGCTCTGCCATTGTCGAGAAGCGGTAACGGAGACAGTAGAGCTGGTGGAATGGTCTGTTGGATCTTGATCCAACGGTCTTCTGGGTACCGACGATACGGTTGAGATTTGTGATAAATCAATGCCTAGGAACTGTAGGTCTTGTGACGGGTACTAGGTCCGACTTGAGTAAGTTTACTAACCATCCTAGCTGTGTTAGTAGCTTTAGCGATGTAGTTTAACTGTAGTTTGAGATGCTGTGGATCTTGATCTACTTGTATCCCGTCGCCGAGGTAAAACGCACTCGCGTGTAGCCCCTTGATGATGAAGATAGGTGATAATCGGCTTCGTTTTTATCCTCGCGGAAAAGCCAGGGGGCTGATGATATTCCTCAATGGGGAGCATTTCTTTCCACTGGTAATGTTGCCCCGCCTAAAGTAAACCGTAGGTATTTCCCTGGCTTTGGAGTGTATCGGGATGTGCAGGTAAGCTGCCCTGTAGATCGATACCGCCCATGTAGTCCATGGGGCTTAATCAACCGCCAGAACTGAGGTAAATGTATCATGGAACTTCGGAGGTTTTATGAGATAGTTCTTGTTGAAAAAAGCTCATGTTGTAGATGAGTCTGTATTTCTCCTTGGAGTTTTTCTTGGGAACCAGGGAAAACTGGGGAGTAGAAACCTGGTTCTATGTTGTCTTGGTCTAGTAATTTCTATGGCCTGCTTTATTAGGAGTGATGTAACAGCCTCTCTTAACTCTCGGGTAGTTGTTGAGCCTGTAAGTCTAACTTGTGAGGGTTGACTGTCAGCGGAGGCTTGGCCTTTAGTGGGATAATGGAACTGGGGACGAAGAATGTAGAATGTTGAGACATAAGGGTCTTGTAACATTCCCCAGTTTTCCCAGTATAGTTGGAGGCCCACCCACTTGAGATGGTTGTACTGGAACGGCTGGGGTGGAAGACTCCAGTCGCTCGAACCTGTCTTTTCAGCTTATAGTTGCGTGGAACCTCTGCGTCCTGCCTCTTCCTGATCCTCCTCTATAGTTGCCGAATCGGGCTGACAAAAGAATCTTTTTCCTCTAGAGCTGGCTATCTTCCTGTCTCGGCTCTCTGTAGGCCCGTGAATTTAGATCTTCCTGAGTATCTTTGTGAAGTCTGTCGAATGACGCTGGCTAGTGTGTCCATCGATTTAATCATAAGGACTCTCTGGAATCCTTTAAGTGACTTCCTTGGAAACTTTGTCTATTTCTCCGCTAAAGATGGATGTTGAAGACCACGGGCTGTATACAGTGGGGCTGTAAAAGTTCTCGCCCCAGTTGCAGGAAGCGAGGAGGCCTTGACGACGAAGCTAAGGTCAGTGCTGCTGAAATAGATGTAAGATGATCTGTTAGGAACTGCTGGTCTTTCTTTGCATAAGTAAGGCAGAATAAATCATTCTATCATCCTCAGAAGTCGTGATCACTGAAATCTGGTGATAAGAGTTTCATTGATCGCTCTAGATCTATTTAAACCAAAAACATAATGGCCTCTGCCATGGTTTCTATCTGGACTAACTTGCGATCATCAATCTTGTAATTCTTGTACTTGGACGCTGATGATCAACTTATAGTTCTCATCGATGTCTTGAGCTTTGAAGAAGGGGTCCATGTTATGCGGAGAACTTCTTGGCATGAAAGTTTGGTAGATGTGGTGTCTGAACTTCTCGTGGCTTTGTGGAATGCTGCATCTAGATTCTGTGGGACTGCTGCAATCGAAATGATCGGTGGTAGTGTGATAGCATCTGCATCGCCTTCTTTCATCAGATATGTCTGCTTCACATTGCCATTTTTAGATGGTGATGAGAGATCTAGGTTATTGACCATCCACCGTGAGACTCTCAGCATCGGAGAAAATAACCTCCATCATCCTCTATACCATCATCAT